AAGATAGACATTAAATTTACATATCTCTCTCTCTCTCTCTCTCTCTCTCTCTCTCTGTGTGTGTGTGTGTGTGTGTGTGTGTGTGTGTGTGTGTTTAAGCTAGAGCTGCACCTTGTTTAAAAATGGAACTCGCTGGTCCTGGAGGCTTCTGGGAGACTAGCCTTGGGGCCATCTGCAGTACACAAAACACATGGTTTTCTCACCTCAGATGTGACTGATAATAGAGAAGTTGTGTATTCCTCCAGGAAGCCAAGAACCCTTGTAGAAAGCTCTTATAGACTATCTTTATTTATGTTAAGGGTTGCACATGTATGATAAAACTGGCTCTCTTCTTCATATTACTTGTAATTGCTGCTATTGACGATTGAGGGTTTTTATATCAATAGAAGTGAATTTCTTCTTTAATTTCCGGTTTCTGAACTGGGATGGTTAGATTTCACCCGCCATTATTTGCAAATATAAAATGGACAAATCTTGATTCAAAAGAGTTTACAGAACAGTCCTAATTCAGATGGAGAGCATGGTTCACAGCACACCATCCATCACTTCTAGTGCTGTGTTGGCTTACACTGACCATGGAAAGGGGGGAGTGATTCTCCCTGCCCCCCTTTTTCTCCCCAGAAGATTAAAAAATTTCCCTATTCTATTATTTAGTTTCCCCTCAGGCTGGCAAATCAAGAAGATATGGGACTGTGCGGCAAAAAAGGGAATCAGAAAGCCAGTGGGTCCCAGACTAAACCTACTGCACAGGAACCAAGGCCACCCTTTGCTCTGTCCAATCTGCATATCTAGATGTCCCAAATTCAATCTATATCACAAGAATTGTTATGTCTCCATGGGGGGGGGGGAGTTGTGAGAGACTCCCCACTCCCTAGGGATTTTCTGCATAACTAGAAGGACACTTCCCATAATAACTTTCTCAATCCACCTGCTTTTTGGAATAGGCTTGATCTGTGAGAGTGCTTCTAAAAACAACCACATTAATCTATTTAAGATTACTTTTGCTTTAACCAGTTTGTTAAAATATCATTATGAAATAAATAACTTTGGCTTTTTGTAGGAATGTCAACTATTCATCATGTTCAGGCCCTTCACTGATTTTAGCTGTCAGGAAGAAAATGTTGACCCTTCATAAAGAACAGTAAGATCTATTTTACATCAACAGAAGTAATTTTCATGACATGATTTGAATTTTGTATCTTCTTTCATCTGTCTAATTTTCCTTTAACTGATGCAAAGGGACTAGGAGACAGATACTGGGCAAGATTAGATGCAAATGTGATGTTTCTGGAAAGAGAATTTTCAAGAGG